TGTGTGAACAGATTGACAATCTTGCGGACCAGCGGCGCAGCTTCGACCTCGGTGTCCACAAGTACATCGATGCCACCCGCGCGCATATGGACATCGACAGGACCGATATGTTCGTGCTCGAACCGGCCAAGCCCACCGCCCTCGATCATTGCTTGGCCGCCCATGCCGATCGTGGTCGACTTCCTCTGCGGCGCATCTTTGGAACCACCTCTTGTAGCTATGACAATGTCGCACGTCCCCAAGAATGCAGCGTTGCCCGCAAAGCAATATCCATTCACCACTGCAATCGAAGGTATTCCTCTTGCCTTGATCTGACCCATCAGAGCGAATGATGGTGTTTTCAAGCCCGCCATACCCAGATGGTCGGTGTCACCCGGTCTCCCACCACCTCCTTCAGCGTAGAAGACGAGTGGCGCAGGATGGTCAATGATTGATTGGAAGATGCGGTCTAATTTCTGGTGATGAAAGTATCCTTGCGTGCCTGCAAGGACCAGGTAATCACCAATGACAACTGCGACTGGATGAGCGGCTATCTTCGCCCAGCCCACGATGATACCATCTCCACTTGTTCGAGCGATGAGATGGGACATGGGGTATCTTTTCTTCTGTGCCGCAACCACAAGATCTCCATATTCAACGAATGAATCTCTGTCTACCAGCAAGTCGATATTCTCTCGGCCCGTGAGGTATCCATTTGCATGGCGCTTGGCCACATCCTCGTCACGCGCCGCATACCGTAGAAAGGCCTTTCGTTTGTTCAGCTCTGTCAACTCCGGCCGCAGCACCTCTGGGTTCTCAGTCTCGGCAAGAGCATGCGTATTTGTAGTTGAACTGTCGCCATCCGCCCTGATGAAGAGAAGAGGATCGCCTGCATTTACTTGCTGTCCCTCCGTGACGGCAACTTTCGCCACAACACCATTGTAGGCGCTACGAACGGAATGTTCCATCTTCATCGCCGCAAGAACGGCCAATTCTTGGCCAGCTGTGATTTTGTCGCCGTCGCTCACTTTCATGGAAAGGACAACCCCAGTGAGATGTGCGAGAAGCTCCTCGGAGCCTGCAGGTTTCTCAACCTTCGCTGCAATCTCCGTTTGCGAGGTATCTTCTTGCGAGGTGCTATCGTCTTTGGCCCTGAGTGCGTCTTCAAACTGCTGCGTGGCGCTGTACAGCTGCTCGAAGTTTTCTTGGATGGTCAAGATGTTGCTCTTACCCTCTTGCACGGGCCGGCTTTCCAGCAAAGCCATTAGGAATGCCTGGTTCGTCCTGCATCCTAAGATCTTTGTCTCGTCGATAGCCCAACGAGCTAGCCGCAGGGCGGACTCATACGAAAACGAGGTGACAATGAGTTTCGCCAAGAGGCTGTCGAACAGAGGGCTCACAGGATATTTCCGACCTCCTTCAAGGGCCGTCTCGACTCGTACGCCTGCTCCTGTAGGGAAGTGTGCTTGTCGAATAGTCCCTGCTTCAGGTTGGGCAGTGCCATCTTGCTTGAAGCTTTCTGCATTGATGCGTAGCTGTATGGATGTGAGGCGTGGTGACGGAGGCTCCCCAGTTATGTGCAGGTCTGCGAGCGTTCGTCCCAAGGCGACTTGAAGTTGTAAATCCACTAAATCAACACCAGTGATCTGCTCGGTGATGGTGTGCTCGACCTGTATCCTGGGATTCGCCTCCATGAAGTAGTACTTCTCGGATGCTGCGTCGACAAGAAACTCGATTGTGGTGAGACTTCGCAGCTTCACTGCTTTGCCTAGTTTCACAGCATCTTCAATGATGGCTCGCCTAAGCCGTGGTGTGATGGAGTTCGAGGGCGCGATCTCCACGACTTTCTGGTTTCTACGCTGAAGCGAGCATTCTCTTTCCCAAAAGTGGCACACTTCTCCAGTGCCGTCCCCCAGAAGCTGCACTTCAATGTGTTTAGCACCGTGCAGGTATCGCTCCGCGAACAAGCTTCCATTGCCGAAGGACGCATGTGCCTCTCGCTGACAAGCTTCGTAAGCTGAGCGAATGGCCTGCTCGTCCGTATTGTCATCAATGATGCGGATACCGCGCCCCCCACCGCCAGCTGCGGCCTTCAGAATGATCTTGCTTCCCAATCCCAGGCTCTTTCCGAACGCCAGTACATCCGTGATGGAAGAACCCCCGTCAAGTCGGGTATTCGTGCCATCTAGAACCGGTATACGTGCATTTGCCGCCAAGATCCTCGCGCTGATCTTGTTTCCCAGATGTGCCAACTGCTCGCTCGATGGTCCGATGAACACAATGCCGTTCTCCTCGCATAGGCTCACCAAACCTGCATCTTCGGACAAGAAACCGTAGCCCGGTGCGATACCCCAGCATCCTTCTTTCTTCGCAATATCGACGATATTAGCCGCGTCCAGATATGCACCTGGACCTTCTCGCGGTAGCTGCACTGCCGCAGTCGCAAGACGCACGTGTGTCGCATCCTTCTCAGAAGGAGTGAACAGAGCTACAGTGTGGATGTTCGAGTAGAGCGAATAGGTCCTGATAAGGCGGCATGCAATCTCAGATCGATTGGCTATGAGAATCTTGACGGGTCGAGAAGACATACTGGAGGTAACCTACCGAGTTGGATATCTACTGGAAGCGATCCCTGTTCGCGTTTGACGGTATTCGCGACAAGTCGACCTCAAAAACCTATTTGCTCCGCCTCGGCTGTTCGGCTCAACTCGGTAGTGCGGGCATAAATATGTCTACTGATGACTCGTAGTAAGCTGAGTCCACAGACCCAACTCTTCTCTGAAAATCCTACCTTCAGATTAATTCAGAGAGTGAACCCTCTGAGGAGACATGGAAAATGGCTACGGGTAGAGCGGTCATCTTAAGTGAATGCCCACGATACATCTCAGAAAAAGGAGATAAAATTATCTTGGCAGTAGCACGTGCAATATGAGGCACATCATCCCTACCCTTCGTTGGGGGTGGGTGGTGGGGGTGTGTCTTATTACTTAATCATCATGGGCAACTTTCTCCGAGGTTTCAGTAGATCCCAGAGTCTGATACACTTACACCCAACTTATACGAAGGTAGTTGCTGAGGTAATACAATGCCCACGACACTAGTGGGTGACTAGGCACCCACTATGCCTTCGGAGATCTTCGGTCGAACCTACCGAGTGGCGGGAGCCTTCGTTGGTTTCTCAAAAGTTATATAGCCAGACAAGGCTCTATCCCAGTGGCATTCACCAAGTGCCTATAAGAATCTGGCCATGGGAATAAAAGGGTGTTGGACTTGCAGAGGTAAATAAACCAAGAGTGAACAAGTCCGCAGACAAAAGCAAAAAACTGATCTCTACACAGAGCGCAAAGTTCGATGTGACTTGCATCGGCCCCGATGTGGCAATTGCACGAAGGCGCGTCGCGTCTGTCAAGGCTATGGCATGCAGCTGTCCTGGCCTCGACGGGGAGACAGTAAAAGAGCAATCGTTTCGCGAGATACACGCCATGAAATGAATACTCAACCAATAGTCAAGGGGTTCTTGAACATATCTTCCTGGGACATCACGCTGTCGAAGGAGCTAGAGAATGGAAGAATTTGTGGTGAAGACCACTTCCGACACACTATCAAGCTATTTGATACTAATGGTGGTTGCTCATAGCTCATTACATTCGGACCATGAAGATACCTCGTCCGAGCTATCTATCTCCCCTCGTGATAAGCAGAGACGAGTCGCATTTACTCAGCTTCTGTATGTATGTTGACTCTCCACGCTCAAGTATCACGCTCACCAAAACATCCCAGTCAACGAATCCAAATCATTAATCCTAGGACCCACAGATGAGGAGATTTTGGCACAATTTATCTTGACAATTGCCTTCTCATGCCCATCCGATACAACTAACCCAGTTCTACAAGGTATATTTGCTCTGGCATCACTGCAGCTTCACGGTAGCTTGAAGAGCTTCCGGTACAAGTATCTTGTCATTTCATCGGTCAAGGAGTCAATCAATTGGTCCGACGAGAAGACGCTTCTTCAGAATCTGATGGCAACGATGCTTCTATATCATTACGAGGTAGTACAAGTCGATCCGCACAGGTTTGTCATGGTCTGCTAATCATCACAAGCTCTCGCTTGAACCCGACTCGAAAGGGAATTGGGTGACATATCTCTGTGCGGTGAAAAAGGCTATCCACACATTACCAGTAATTCAGAAACTGGCCCGCCAAGAATACTCAGTTTTCCTTGATTGGGTTTATTATCACGAAGTCCTCGCAGAGTTTACAATCAGGCATTGGAAGGTACCCTACGAAGGCTGCGGCTCTCCTCCTATAGCAAGATCACCCCGAGCAATTGAGGGAAGCAGCTCCAAGGTAAATGGACCTCCAATACGTTATTTCTGGCATCGTCTAATACTGCGGCAGGTAGGAGATGGCATCGGATGTCCAATTGAGGTGCTCCAGCTCGTTGCGCATACATGTAGACGAGCTCTCGTCGCGAAACACTCCGAGATGAATCGGGCGAATACTGGCATCGAGCTCATGACGGTGCTGGAACAGAACGTTTCCAAGGTAGTAGGAGATTATGGTCCAATTCACGTCCCATCTACGACGCCGATGGATCGCAATGCTATGGTCGCCGATCTTCATCGACTCGCGTGCTTGATATATGTCAATCGGGCGGTCCATTGTGTCTCGGGAACAGAATTCCGTCACAGGCGACTCGTGAAAGAGGGCATATCACTGTTGAACAAGATGGTAACGTGTCAGAACGCGTGGCCATTGTTCATTATCGCGTGCGAAGCAGTCGGGGATGATCAGCGCCTTGCTATCCTGGACGTCTTTGAACAAAGTCGGCGAGATCGAAGACGAAGATCAAGTCACATTCATCTCATTCAGCATATGGTCGAGGCTGTATGGAACCAACATGATCTCAATGAGGAGAACCAAGTCGACTATCTAACAATTCTCAATGCGGTTGTTGCTGGCGTTCCATTTATACCAGCATTTGCCTGAGTTCAGGTCATGACCCCGTCATTTCAATCCTAATATTCTGTCAAGATAGGTCCGTTCAGCTTCCGGACTAGAACCCTTGCTCAGCCGTCCCACGATGAGACAGAAATTTTCCGCTGTTCGCTTCTGTCAAGTCCCCAATAACCCGCAGCATACAAGTGACTGATTCATCGACCGAAATCGGTCCAGTCACGTTTGGATCGAACTTGCGGAATGCGTTTAGCGCAAATTTGCGTGTTTCCGGGTCGCCTGTGATGGCCCGGGCTATTACTAGTCAGTCATCTGGGGTCACACAAATTGATTTGGGCATTGACTGACAGGCATCAGTGTCTACCCATCCCGGACTCAGAGACAGTGTCTTGATGCCCTCTGGGGCCAATTCAGCTCCGAACTTGGTCATGACAATGTTCATGCCAGCCTTAGCGACAGAATACCCCATTACGGGAGCAAATCCAGTGATTCGAGTGAACTCAACATCGCAACTTTGGGTGGAAATGAATATGATCTTCTTCTCTTTGCCGTTACGAACAAGATCAAGGAAGCAGTTGATCACGTAGATGTTGCAGATCAGGTTGTTTTTGACGTTTTCATTGATCTCCTTGTCCAGCGCTTCCTCCTTGCCACGACTACTCAATGTCAGCAATTTGAATTCTCAGGCGCATTATGCCCGTTGCCTTACAAACCAGTTGGCGTTATGAAGCCAGTCTCTGGTACTGCAGAACCAGCGTTGAGGATCAAGCTATCTAGCGAACCACCTGTCAATTTGGAGACTTGAGCGGCAGCATCGTCCAGTTTTCGAGGGTCGGAGATATCGGTCACGATGATATGAATGTTTTTACGCTTCGCAGCAAGCGCCTCAAGCGGACTGGCAGTGGCTCGACTTCGAATGAGGGCAAACACTTGGTTCTTCGGATCGGCAGACTTTGGCGGCGAAGTCAGTGGATCGCGTTTGCCATGACCACAGTTGTGGCAAAGGACTTACAAGATTATCGATGAACCCGAACTGCAAAGACGGTCATGTTAGCACTTGGGAATGTGGTTGTGGTGTTGCTCTGGGAAGCTTACGCCAATGCCTCTTGTCGCGCCGGTGACAGCCCAGGAAACCATTTTCAATTTTGATGATATTAGACGGCGATACCTGACCGGTATGAAAGGATAAAAAGGTTTAGGACGATATGAATTGTTTTACTAAGTTCGTTGGGTTGTGGTGATGCCTTGACAGAAGGGGAGGCCGTCGCATCCTCTTATACCCATCGCGGGACCCATAGCGACGTATTAGGGAAGTGAAAGGTCGTAGTGTCTGGTAGTGTACACAGTAATCACTGGAAAGTATTTACGAAGGAATATTAATAATTTATGGTCGGGTTGTTTCGCCCGTCTGGCTGAGCGAAGAAAGGTCAGTGGAATTATGTAAAGTGAAGCAACTTTCTCCGACACTTGGGCAAATATTCAAGGTGGAGGAAGCGCGATTGCTCAGCACCGCGTACATCAATCAAAGCTATTGGGAATCACTTGGGGACTGATTAGAGGAACAAGTTTAAAAGAGTCATGGCCGTGTGGAATAAAGTCGTGACAGTTCCAGGACTCCAGCTCCTTGTGCACAGAGTCCAAAGTCATCCTCCCATCACTTCATTTCCAACAAGCTACTGAGGTAACGCGTTACCATGTCTGCACCATTGTCGATCGCCCTTGTGTTTGGCGCTGGTCAAAATGTAGGAGCTAGTGTTGTCAAGGCTTTCTCTGCCAAAGGGTACAGGGTGGCAACAGTGTCGCGGACAGCTATAGCAGACACGAGCGACAAGCGACACCACATCCAGGCCGACCTGGAGGATCCCGAAAGCGTGTCAACAGTTTTCGAAACCGTCCGCAAGCAGCTTGGCCATCCAAGCGTAGTTGTCTACAATGGTTCGTTACTGGAGCCGTTCGTTACTATTGTTTTGATACTGACCAAGACAGCCGCGGTGGCATCATTCGTCAACAAGGACAACCCATTGGAGATTTCTATCAAGGATGCCATCCGTGATATGAATGTCAATGCATTTAGCGCTCTCGCTGCAGCAAAGGAAGCCGTCAAGTCCTTCGATGCATTGCCAAAGGACGCTGCGAGGACCTTTATCTTTACTGGAAACATCACGAACAGCCAGCCAATCCCAGCATTGATGAGTCATGGAATGGGAAAGAGTGCTACCGCACACATGATACAGACAGCAGCGTCAGTCTACGCGGACCGTGGATACAGGTACGCCATACTGCCTCTTGAGTTATTGCTAGACAACTAACTGAGCCAGTTTCTATTACGCAGATGAACGCCACGCTGATGGTACTGCTGTGTACAGTGCTATTGATGGAGAGGCACATGGGAAATTTTATGTGGAGCTTTCTGAGAAGAAACAAGGCCCATGGCTGGCGACGTTCGTCAAAGGCACCGGTTACACTGACTTTTCTATGCGATCAAACATGTAGGGCGCTCAGAGGGCCAGCTACTGTAGTCTACCGAGTAGAGAGCTTGAGAGAGACTGCACCTAACAGGCTGGGAGTTGGAAAGAAGCACTTTATTGTACGTACAGCCAACGAGCTAAGAGACAGGACAGGGTGATAGCTGATCATCCACTGACGCCATTCTATCTTTGCTCTCGTCCCTCGAGTGTATACCATTATTTCGTTCCTCCCGCCTCAGTTATGCCAGTCTGTTTGTCCGGAATTTCCGCGTCTGGCCTCAGTGAGCCCAAGGGCTCTGTATCTGGGATACTCGTGGTAGGCGAGGAACTATAGCCGACACGCACCTTGAATAAAGTGCTGTGGTCGGAGAGTCCGCCCCTATCTTCCCTCTCACCTCCCATTCCCCCAAGTGAGGACATTCTACGCTTTCTGCTGGTACTGGTGAGTGCCTGGACTTTTTCCTGTAGCCATTCCTCGACTTCAACTGCTGTCCACCTATCAGTCGGTGTCTGTGATAACAAAACCACTAAGAGAGGCCTGAAATCCTCTGGTGAGCTTTGGACAAGCGACTGTAGGTCCTCACAAATCCGTCTTTGGTGCATATCCTGGCTCGGGGGGAACCTTGCATCGCATCCTTTCAACCGCGTTCCTGTCTGGGTGAGCAGTTCGAGTAAAACAATACCCAGAGACCATATATCAACGGCATTAGTGTAATGTAGCTCCTTTTCCCAGAATTCAATGGCCATGTAAACACTTGACTCCATATAGGTGTGCATATTCACAGAGAGGTCATATTTAGTCGTACCTAGGTCAGCAATTTTGGTAGTGATTAACCTCTGACCATCTCGAAGGATAAGAACGTTCTCGAGTTTCATGTCACGGTTAGTATATCGTTTGGCGTGCATATACTCGAGACCTTTAGTGAGGTGAGTCATCAAGGTAGGGATATCGCGATCATCGAGTGTAGTTGAGCTAAGATCATCATCGATCCACTCCATGATGAACCAAGGGGGACGTCGACATACGTTCCTATCAGGACTTCGACCGCCCGTACTATGTGAGGCTGGAATTGTTATCAGCATAGACATGGAGGTAGGTAGACCCGCCAATCACCTGCATGTCGCAGATGGGAGACTTTCCTAAACTCTTCTATTCATGATTCCCAACGTTTCCGAACCACGCTTGAGGGGTCAGATGCTTTAAAGTGTGGCACCTTCGCGGCGAAGATCTTTTGGGAGTTATACTCCCAAAAGAACCCTAGGACCGTTACAAACCCACCTACGCCTCCATGTCCATCTCTTACCCTTCTAAATACTGTGCCGTTATTTCCTAACCTCAGATCGAACGTGGAACCCTCAGGAACGTTGAGACTGATTGGGAATCGTGGGAGCGCATGAAGGAATGCCCTGCTGAATTCCTCAGCATTTCTGCGATAATCAAGCTCTTCCCGATGTGATAAGATCGGTCGCCAAGCTCTCAAGGTGGCTTCTCCTAGATCAACAGTAACTGCAGTCCCGATCTCTAAGGATTCCCCTCGTGAGAGAATTACCGAGTGGCCATCATCATGGATCTGGATGGGGTTCCTTGATATCACTGTGAGTCTAGGGCTATGCGCAGTTGGATTGACATCGATTCTGAAGTATCTTCTACTGACGCCGGATGTATAATCTTTCGCCAGCTGAATATCACAGATGTCGGAATCATTCGAGGAACCTGCGATCCATCCTTGTGGAGAATACATGTGCTTTCCAAATGACAGCGCGAGGAAGGGCGGACTGATATTGTCGGATTGGTTGCCTTTCCAGTTTGATAGTTCGTCAGCATCATCGTTACTCCGAGGTGGGTGCAACGTGTATCTTGCGTTGTCCGACAGCCCTGAGATGTTATCCGTGCCGATGAAATTCCCTAGAATCAGAGGAACAAGGGAAAGGTCCATATAGCCCGTCATTATGTCAAAAGAAACCAATCGTGAAAACAATAGCGATGTGTGTGGCGATGTGTCGGTGTTTTGAGAGTTGGCGAGGGACGAATGTCAGCGGGAAAGGCTATACAACGTAGCACAGCACTTAAAATATAACAGGCCTGAAAGTTCTTGTGATCAGGCCCGTTATCCACCATAAGAGGCGCTGCCCCGTTAATCTCAGCATTACGTGCTTAGCATAACTAGAATGTCGATTTCCGTTGCGCCAATCCGCCTGCTCTCGAAATGGCGCGATCCTGTCAGCAAATCAGTCTCATCGCGTCCAAGTTTGTTAGACGCTCGATAGGGAATCGCAAGCAAGTGTGAATACTCTCACCAAGAATGTATGTGGGAAAAACGTAGTAATTAGCCGCACGAGTGTCGACTTTGTCCCGTACCAGAACCAGCTCTGCGGCCTCTGCTTGACGGCATTAAGAACTACGCCGTACGCAAAATGATGAGGGGGCACCGCACCCTTACCCAGTTCACTTCCCAGCTCTTGTTTCTTCAACAGCCTTTTGCACGGGCAGATATAGGGAACCTGAACACACACACACACACACATACACAAACACAGAGAGAGAGAGAGTCAGTGACTACAGCCGCAGGAGAAACAAGGCACCACAGATCGTAAGTACCGTATCGACCGTTCCGGCGACAACCTGTAGCCTCGTTAGCCACATCGACCTCACCACGCGGCGGAGGGGAGGGCATGTTAACGGGGATGACTTGGATATCAAAAGGTGCCAGTTCCACCCTCAGCGTCTCACTCATCAGATTCAGCGCCGCTTTACTGGCCGCCTAAAGGCCTGAGTGCCGATCAGTGCGGGGCCTACAGTTTTGGAGTACGTCCAGTGCGTCCTAAGCTTACCTGTATAGGGCGTGACGACGCTGCCGCCGATAGACCCAATGTTTATGACCTTTATTTTGGTCCCGACTAGGCACGGTGCGAACTTTTGCGTGACGTATAGCGCCGATAGGAGGTTCAAGTCAAAGACCTCCCGCACCATGATCAAATCCACATACAAGAGAGGAGATGTGAGGCCTAACATACACGCACACGCGTCAGCGCCCCCTTGGGTTTAGTTTTTTGGCGTCGTCGACGAAGGGAGGGGAAACGTCTTTGGCAGCTCACCTCGTCCGGCATTGTTCACCAGGAAGTAGAGGGTGCCGCTGGTGACTTTGGTGACTTGGGCGACAGTAGCCTCAATGGATGAGTCCACGGTCACATCCATTTCCAGCACTTCTTAGTCCATGGTGCCTAAGTGCTCTACTTTTTCGAGGTTGCGCGCCGGTGCAAAGACCTTCAACCTCCTTTCGATGGAACTCTCGCGCGATCGCGTCACCGATCCCGCCTGCCGTGAACCCGGTGATGAGAGCCAGTCTTTACGCTTGGATTTTCTCGTCGTATCGCTTCTTTCAGCGTACTTGTCCGCGCGGTTAAGATTTCCCGCAGTTTAGTTGTTGAGCCACTACCGATAGTAGAGGTAGTGGGGTCTGTAGCCTCGCCCACGACTCTAAATAGCCCTCGATTCAAGTCCACTCCTCCTAAAAGACATGAAGAATCTTTAAGCGGAAAGAACAGTCACGAAATCGGTGTACTGCAACTTGACCCTTATAGAGTACACGACCGAGGAGAGCTTAAGAATCTGGGATTCGTATCTCATATATATGAAAGTCATCTAGTTCTCTACCAAGCCTGTGTGGATATATGTACACATGTATCTTGATAAGCCTCCACAATCTGACGTCTTAATCACATATTCCGCCGCTAAGTATTGGTGCTATTGTCGCCTCCTTTTCTTATCACAGTCATCTTATAGCCGCTATAATAGGAGCTTTAGCTCGAGCGTCTGAAGCATTCTCGGTGGCGTCGGCATTCCTTGTTAAAAGCACGCTATTACTGAAGGCCCACTTCCTCGGGGGCACATCGAGAGCCGGATTCTTATCAAAAAAAAGTCGGCAGGCTTGAGTGCAATCGTCACGATTTCACACGGCATGACCGGATAGTCTTCGACGCTGGGATTGTACGTAATCCTGTGCGTATGCCACAGCACCAGGTCCTGGTCGCGGACGTCCTCGTTGCGGGCAGAGTAGTCAACGACTCCATCTGTCTCGACCAAGCTCTGGTGGGGCCAGCGGCTCCCGGCCCACAAGTCACCGTCTCGATACTTGGCCACCCAGACGTGGTGCTCGGCGAAACGGGCGCGTCGCGGGACCAGGGATGCAGGTTTGCAAATAAGGAGCTGGGGAAGAGGAGGTCGAGTTGTTGCACGAGTTTGAAGCCGACAGGTTTGCCAGAGGTCGGGTTCTGGCATTTCTCGTTGACGATCTTGATGACTCGGGCACGTTCCGCCGCCGCGTCTACGTAGAGGCTCTTCTCGATCGGCTGCTGAACTACTTGCCATGTGTTGCTCAAGGGGTTCTCCGTTTCCGACAGCGGCAGCAACACGGAGTCCTGCTGAACAACCGTATTCTCGCTGCCGTCGATCATAGGGTCGACGCGGAGGCAGAAGAGGTGCTGGTGGTTGGCCTCCAGCACGCCCGGCGACACGACATTATCCCAGTAGCTGATTTGACCCGCATCTATGAGGCTCGTCGCGAGGATTCCGGTGGCTCGCGTCTCAAACTCGACGGTACCGCCGCTCTGCGAGAAGAGCCAGGAAAAGACGTATTCGTAGTTGCCTACTGTGATCATGCTCTAAACAACCAAGGTGCGTGCTCGCACGATCGCCGCGACCTCGATCCTCGGGTTCATGTGATTCTATCTAATCCCGTTGTCCTGAGAAATACATTAATGTAGACGGCTGGAGAAAGGGTAAAAGAGTAAAGTGGGCGAACTTGCTCACGAAGGCAGACGACGTTGGCCGCCTTTCTCGATCCGCCACGAGAATCCTTCCTTTTGAAATTAAAGTACTGGATGGAGCCTAAGCAGTCGCAGCTGAGACGCAGGCAATTTGCCGTCGTCCCTGTGCCGCTTCCCCCAGATCAAAGGCCTGTCGGCGGTGATATGGACTGCGAGGATCTATAGCTCTCCGTGAGCGACTTGCGCGGTGATCAGCCCCGGGCCGTTGCACAGAAGCTTGGGGAATGTAAGGAAATATTAGATGTACTTACCGCCATACGGAACAGTCATCTCACTCAGGCTGAGACGGTAGAACAATTCTCGATTATCATACCTGACATTATGGATGGTCGTTCCCTCACGCCAGTTGAAAGCGAGTCGAAACTGCCATTTCTGCCACGAAATTACCGTTTCGCCTTGGACTTTGAAGCTCGTACCCTCAGGCTGAATTATCGACAGTGGTTTCAGGTCCTTGCGCAGATTTCCGTACTGGATGCTGGGATGATTTTCGTTTCCGATACAGTGAGCCATGGGCGATGCAGACAACGCCTCTGCCGGCGTTTCGTTGGCGTAATAGGCGCCGATATCGCGGGATGGCAATTCGTCCACCCGGACGATGCGTTGCTGGTCCATGTCGATGACGGGCGACATAGGGATAGGGAACGAGTACTTGTCACTCTCTGGGCCGTACAGCATCGCCTGGATCAAACGAGGTATTTCCGGGATGGAGAGCTTGTCGGCGCTGTATGGCCACGTGTCGCACTGGGTCTGGGCGTCGGCCGGCAGGCTGAGTTTCGCTATGCGTCTTCGGACATCGGGGTCAGTCAGAACGATCCGCTTCGCCTCGACCACTTCGTCTGTTCGCACACGTAGCACTTGCAGAGCGAGGCTGCCTCTTTGATTTCGTCGTTGGTTAGCCCGATCAGGGGGTGCCACCGAAGTGAGACGAGCGTCAGTGTCATCCTCAAGAGGCGGGCGAGAGGCAGTCGTTGAAAAAGCTAGACGACGATGAATTTCTGGCATCAGTGGGCGGATAAGCGAGGTCGAAGTGATTTTCAAGGGCCTGAAGAGATAATTGAAGAGATGACTTAGTTTTATTTTGGGAAAAGCCGCCTGTGGCCTTGCTTAATGTTGCTTTCATTGCGCCTTTCGAGAGCGATCTGTCCGGCCGAGTGGTATGAAAGTCTTGCGTTGTACGGTTGTGTATCTTGTACAAATCTCTATGATTGCCGGGTCATCGTAATCTTTGCCATCTTTCTCCACCGCATGCACTAGGCCGACTACGGTAACGAGTACGTGGCCGGCCAGTGGGAATTGAGACTAGCGAGGGGAAGCCGCCAGGATATGATTGTGGCAACGACTGCGCCAAATTAGCGAGTGAGCACCACCGCGGAGCTATAGGGGCTTGGATACGTCATGTACGGGGCAAATCAACTAATCCATGGGGTTAGGGAATCACCTGTAGGCATATCGAATGGACTGAAGCGCTCGAAGAGGAGGCCAGGACCAGGATCTTCAATGTTGGTATCTTGTCGATAGTTCGAGCCAATGAGGAGAAGACGCGTGTTTTCTAGATTCATGATCCTGGGATCGGTCGAGAAGAGACCTCACCCGCCTGACCTACGTACAGATTCGTTACACTGTACCACGTTATCTTGGATCTCGGAAACATACATACCTTTGCTCCGCCTTCAATTAATAAGCGTGTGATTCGAGAAGGGCGCGGCGTAGCCACAATGGTTGCTGTATAAATCGAGTAAACTCCTCTCAACCTCGGTCCTCTTCCACATTGTCATCGATAAAGTCCCAGTGCGTGTATAGGTTTAGGGTTAGACTTTGGGCCGACACTTCTCCCTGCCTCACCGCGTCTCTGTCATAAATGCACGCTCCCCGGTCTCTAGGGAAAGGGGAAGAAGAAAAAAGTCAAAAAAAAAATACAAACATATCAACGGATTCCTACATCTCGAAATGCTAAAAGCGCCGTACAGAAGATAGTAAGTGATGAAAGGCCATAGCGGGCCCCTTTCCCTCCGTGACTATAGTAAAACCCCCCTCTGACCCCAGAGAAAGTGACCCCAGCGTGAAGTTTGAGAAGTACCTCTATTTCGCACGTAGATCGCGACCGCGAGGACACTATCGAGCCGTCAAGTGATACGTTCGCCTCCAACCCATGGGATTTCCGTCGTTGGCGATCTTACGTGGCGGACACGAGTGAGGCGCTTGAGGGCGAGTCTCTCGGAGAGCCTCTCGAGGGCGGCAAGAAGACGGCGGGAGACCTCGTCCACGACAATGCCGACGCTGACGACAAGGAGCCGGCCGTCCAGGTTCACTCCACCTCGCCGCCTGCCGAGCACCACAGCATTTCCCACACCGAGTGGCTCAAGCTGTCGCGAGCCACACGCAATACTAGCTGGAGCGTGGTTTCCTTCCTCATCACTACCGATATGTTTGGCCCGTTGTCTGTACCGTGAGTCTCGATTGCCTGGGTCAACAAAAAACACACCCAACTAACATCATGCTAACCTTTCTCGGTGGTTAATGGTCTAATTCAGCTACGGCCCCAGTGTGAGCGTCTATACCGTCATCGGGGCCCTGGCAGGATCATAAGCAAGATCTCACCCGCGTCACTTCGTTTCGAAAACTTCTCCTCCCGCGTCCTAGGAAGCCGGCTAACCTCCCGGTAGCCGGGTTGTCAGCTGTGGGCCATGTATATTGACCTCTATTCGGATCGTCATCCACTTAAGACCTACGGCGACCTGGCCTTCCGTGTTTTTGGCAGCTGGGCCCGGTGCCTGATGAAAGTGCTCCAGAGTCTGCAGCTTTTCTTTGATGTTGCCCCGTTGACCCTCGCCAGTGGGAAGGGAGTTGCACAACTGGCACAGGGCAAGGTCTGCTTCATCATCTGCGTCTTCATCTTCTACTGTGCTGGCTGTCTACTGGGTCAAGTGCGCACCCTCCGCACGTCTAAATGGCTGGCTAATCTTTCTATTATTCTGAACGTGCTGGTCCTCTGCATCAGGTCAGGAAAAGCCTATCCCTGTTAATTTTCTGCCGTGAGGGCAAGACAGCAGCTAAAAGACGCTTTATGCCGTATGGGAGTCACCGCACACTCGGCACCCAGCTTTGCCGCCGCTGCTGCGCAGAGCGGTGTGTAACCGAATCATGTGGTGACGTTGGCCGGTGTCCCGACCGGCACTCCTTTCGAGTACCAAATCATTGGATTGATGCAGGCCATCCATAGCTACGCTGCAGCGATACTGTAAATTGATTACTTCTCCAGTCTCATGTCACGGCGAACGGGATGGCATGCTGATGGTGACAGATTCTGTGAATTCATGAGTGAAGTAACGACTCTCCTTCCCCTGGTGTCCCCCACCTGATGGGTAATGTGGGTGAATTTCTCGGCTTGCTAAGATGCGACTGCAGATGAAACGGCCATGGGACTTCTCGAAAGGCATGATTTGTGCCCAAACTTTCATCTACTGCTTCTACCCCCTTTACGGTGAGTTGGCCGGTGGCCATAGAGAATCCGGATATGTGGGAGGCTGCATAGTACCATTGTCCGTTACACTGTAAGACAAGTGGGTTATTGTTCGGATCACTTCCTGTGACATATACGTTGACACGGTTGCCGTCTTCGAGCTTGTTGACGAACCAAATGCGAAATTTATCAGAGTCCTTAACTCCTTCCCCTCAGAGGTAGTGTTGACCGAAGTAATACTAGGCTAGGTTTAGTTAGATCAAAGCCCCCTTGCATTGTGTGCGTGCTGTGCTAAGGCCAAATAGAGTCGTAGGATGCTAAACTATCTCCCACATGGAGCAGCGAGTAGGTGACTCTACAAGAGTGGAAATTAAGGATATTAATACTTGAGAGTCTTATGAGGATAGTGTCATACGCGCCTGCTGATTTTTTCGGGGAAAAGAGGCTTGAACCTCAAATCAGGCTGTGGGTCACGTGTATAGACCAGTGTCCAACTTCACTTCCCTCTCTTTCCCTCTCTGTCTGGTCACACCTTGACGCATTCGATAACCGCAACATCAGTCGCCAAGCTCTTGTGTACGCCGACCATCTTCAACCCAGCACTCGCTGTCAGGCCATCAAACATCTTCTCGGTCCGCTCCTTGCCACCGAGGTTCATCATGCAGAGATCGGTCCAGGCATTCAGGGCCGTGGGCGGATTGGGCATGACTTGCTCGGTGATTAGGACTCTGGAGTCCGGGGCCATGGCGTCGGCGAGGTGAGAGAGGATGATGCGATCGTTCGCGTCGGACCAGTCATGCATGCAGCGCCGGATGTAGTAGACGAGAGCACCTGAAAAGGAGGACAAAAGGGTGGTTAGTCTTGCGGAGGGAAACTCGAAGTGAGAAGGGAAGAGAAGGGTAGATAGAACTCGCCTTTGACAGGGTTTGGCTGGAAGAAATCATGCGGAATCTTCTTGACCTCTTCAAAACCGGGTTCGTTAGCCTGAATGACTTCCTCAATGACCGGTGCCCGGTCCTGCAACACCAATCTCTTGGCAGGGATCTCAGGAAACGCAGCCATGATGCGCTTGAGGGCCTGGCCTTTGCCACCGCCAACATCAACAATCAACGGTCTGTCCTCGGGACCTTCCGTGTTCTTCGCAATCCAGCTGAAATCGTACATGCCCGTCACCGGCAGCACCTCATCGAGTGTATTCATGCTCTGATTAAAATCGACCAGACGTTCCGGTTCCTTGCTGATGACCTCCCAGAAATTCTTGTCCGGGTCGCCCCAAGCGAACGAGTGGGGATTGTGATTCCCTAACTTTGGTTCTTTCAGACCATACTTGGCGAAGAATTGGGGCCACTGGGCCCATGGGACCATGGCTTCATCGAACCTGGAAACAGAATAGTCCTCAGTGTCACACATCGCACGAAATGAGGGGGGCGGGTGGTTTACATGATCTGGAAAAAGACCCCCTGGGCGTTTCCAGAGACATAGAGCTTTGAAAGCCTGGAATGTGCGACACGGTCCTCCCCGATTTGATGGAGGAAACCTGTAACGAGTTGAGACAACGAGACTCGAGCGCAGTCATATACACCTAGACTGACCTGTAGCCACCATCATCCAAGCCATGCGAGCTTGCAACCGGTCAGTCTTGTCTCGGCGCAATGTGCAACTAATCAAGCGTACTGACGAGCGGCACCTCAGCACCGAGACTGGCCGCCAAATCCTCGTAGGAAATGCTTCCTTCCAATGGAATCTTGTCAAATGCTTTCATCTTCATAAACATCCGAATCGCCCCCATCTCGGCCATCTGGAGAAGTCTCAGTTGGGCATGGTCCAGAGTGTATAGGGAGGGACTAAAACACTCACGTGTGTCGAGAATTCATATGGCGTCTCACCAGGCTCCCGGACGACGTTGATGATCTGCCGGGCCGCATTGGTCATTCGTTGACGAAGCAGCAGGCCTTGTTGCCCCGAGGGGTCCTTGTAGTCCTTGGAGGTCTCATAAATCTGATTGGTCAGGGCGTTGAGAGACTCGACGAGCTCACTTGCGGCGACAGACAATGCGCCCGGGTTGTTTTCTCGGGAGCTCATTGTAGCAAACCAAGAGACGGGTGGAAAGCTGAATAACTTTTTCCAGGGGTTCAGTCGATGCCTGAATGAAAGACCGTAATAGCAGATGACAAGGTTTCTACTTTCGATGAGGGGGATCGAAACCCCTCGATAAGATCCTTCTGCCCCTCTAAAGGCCGGCAGGATTACGCGGGAGTTGCAATCAGGCCTCTTCCATGGACCATGACACCCATGAGCGCGGCATGTGAAGGGAAGATGGGGACTGGCTCTGATTATAGATAAAAAGCAAGTCGATATGCACATTTGCGCAGTTAGGTGCAGCGCTTCGGACGCAACACTGGTGTCCGCGACTCCACGCTCCCTTTAGCTTCGCGGGAGGTAACTGACCGAGAAGTGTTGGTTGGCAACTGTCTCGATTGAGCTGGTTGCAGGTACGAGGGCGTTTTGGTTGCATCGTGGCCCTCTCTCAATTGGTGTCGCCAAAAAAGAGTTTGACGACTCAGCGTAAGTATTTCGCCATTTTCGGCCGCTATCGGCACGGCTCTTGGGTTGCAGTGCCGGTAGTCTTAGCCCACGGCCCCGCACAGGATCCCAGCCAAAAGTACTCCCTCACTCAGCCGGACGCGTCACTCGAAGTCCCGACTACACAGCGTCCGTGGTTTCCGCCTAGATTAAGTTTCAAAATGCTCAATGGTCCGCAAGACGATGGTTGTTCCATATGAGACAACATCTTGCCAAAATAGAGACGACTAAACAATGACAGATACACCACCGGACAACAATAATCAGAACCAGCAGATCACACAGGCGGCTATAGAGCCAGACGTACGTTCGATCCATGCTCTGCTCCAGAAGTTTTTGCTGAACCCGCGATATCGCAGTCGCCGCCGGAAGACGAAGGTTTTGCAGAATCGAGGTGATTTAGCTGAGCTAGCCTTCAATCTCCTATATCATATCGCTGACTGAAAACCCCTTCAAAAGCACGTCTAGTTACTGTACCTCGATCCAGTCGGAAATCAGAAACGGGCGGATTGAGAATGGTCGTGTATATGCCGCGTACGGACGAAATGGTAATATGCATATTAGTCACCAACTACCCTTCTGAAGACTTTTTAACGTGGATTATTAGAATATGGCTTGCCCGTTGACGATTACGAGCTGGACCGGATCGACATGAACCACGAAAAGTACACTCTACTGCAGAACAACAAGCTATTTCTTGCCCCGTTGCCTCCGAATCCCCAGAAGATGTTAGATATTGGCACCGGCACAGGTACTTACTTCTAACCTCCAATCCACGAAACTCGAAGCTCGAGAAGAGAGATTCTAACACAGTAGTAAGGAATCTTTGCCATCTACCTCGCCGATATGTTCCCGTCGGCCATAGTCCTCGGAACGGATATTTCGCCCATCCAACCCCCATGGTTAGCTCTTTTCCTGGTTCAACAATCGAAGAGGTCCAAAGAGGCTGATGAGAAAGAAATAGGGTCCCTCCCAATTGCCAGTTCGAAATTGATGATGCAGAAGAAGATTGGCTGTATCCAGAAAACTCATTCGATTATATCCACGGCCGAGATCTATACCACTCGATTCGCGATTGGCCCAGGCTCATTGGGCAGGCGTACAGGTGACCAGCAGTTCCAAACCAAATCCGAAAAAGCGATCTAAACTAATTAACGCCGATTCTAGCCACCTCAAACCAGGAGGGTACCTCGAACTTGCCTGCGTGTGGCCAGTGCCCAAGAGCGATGACGACAGCTTGCCCAAGGAAGGATCAGCGTACGTCGAGGTGTGCGACACGTTCCAAGAGATCGCGGCTCGTATCGGGGCCGCGCCTGACGCTCCTTGGAGCTACAGGTCGTGGATGGCCGAGGCCGGTTTCCAGAACATCCACGAGCACATCTTCAAAATCCCCACCTCTCCGTGGGCTCGGGATCCAAGGCTAAAGAAGGTCGGTGCGTTGGAGCTGGTGAATGTCATGGAGGGCGCGCAGGCATTCTTGCTTCGGGGCTATACAGCAAATATGGGCAAAACGCGAGAGGAATTAGAGGTCTTGCTGGCGCAGATGAGGAAGGAGCTTGTGAACCAACGGTTTCATAGCTATGTTTCATTGTAGGGAAAACTCCCGTTCCTTCCCTCGGTGTGGAAAGGATCCAAAAGCTAATCCAATCTCCAGCGTTGTTGTATACGGGCAGAAGCCGGAAGCGTCATGACCACGGTAGGGCAACAGAACTTATACCACAGGATTTGGCAAGGTAGTTAATGGACGTTGTTATGACGTTGCTGAAGTAATAGTTACGACGGTAATACAACCACATAGGAAGAACTCATTTTTAGGATCCTATATCATTAGCTAACATAATGTAGCTGTTTGAGGGAGAGAAGAGAATAAAGTAGGTCAACTGAGGGATGTCATTTATTAGGCTAACAGTGGCTGACTAAAGAGCACGCTCTCTAGTCTTACTCACCCTTAGTAGGTTGACTCCATTTACTCACTTCGTGAACATTCTTCATAGGTAGAGGCTAAGTAGTAATATCTCTACATCTACTAGTAATATATCAGAGCTGCTTCCTAAATGACCTAACGGGGTTAGGCTTCCTTGGTTACAGTTCCATGATAACATAAGCTAGGTCGAGAGTACGTAAGGTAAGAGGAGTCTAGTGACTTTAGAATAGTATCCTTGGAGTTCACGGCAATATCGTACCACGGCCAATCCGTAGCCCACGGCATCGAAGAGTATATCCTCGCATTCTTCAAGGTCAAAATCACATTTGCGAAGTGTACGAGAGAATTTACTGAATTCTCGACAATAATTCTCAACGTCCCCCGCTGTTGAAATTTTAATCTTACCCATGGCTCGTAGTTGATTAATCCAATGCACAGAAGAGGAGAAAGCTAATCTTCCAAAAGAGGTCGAAGGGAGATTGGTTTGAATAGGAATCTAGCGAGTGACTAAGATTCTGCATTATTAACCTGCGTAGGAGAAGATAAAAAATTTCCACAACGTGTGATATAATGTAACTCGGCTCGCGTCACGGTATCAATACACCAGATCCACCTCACACCGCAGTTGAAACCCCGTTACTCGCCGTCGCTATCAACAGACAGGACTTCTGTGGGCATATCATCCTCAAGTACAGTAGAGGTCACTTTGTCGGACCCGAGGTAGATATCCCGGATTCACTCTCAGTTGGAACCGCAGAAAGGACCTCGCAGATCTTTTCAGAACCGTTCGAATGGAACGGGTCCTCATCAGTCGTGTGACTGAAGGAAACGCGTTCATATGTCCCCCGGAATCCGACACAATACTACCGTGACCGGCGACCTCGAGAGGCCGAAAGGCGAGGCCAACCCGGAGGGGGAAACATCAAGTTCCCTCGAAGCCCGCCTGTGGCACCTGCGAGCTCCCAAACCACCAATCCTTCGGCAAGACTGCTCTGTCAGGTTTTTTACAAGCCGGCATGTCGCTGAAATATATCCAAGAAGATTGATAACCATATCTAGCTGGTAATGCCGGTATGACCGTCAGTCGCTAAGGCATGGTGTACTGGCGGCGGGCCGTAAGTCGACCGATCAGTCCCAAGGATGCTTCAGAATTCCTCGACGAACTGGCGGTGTCCTCTGGAGGCGGGCCTTACTGCAAGATATCGCCGGTTATCAATTGGTGGATTCCAGTTGCGAGGATGGCCATCAACCATGATACCCCCAGCCTCTGACAGGATACACCAAGCTGCAGCGACGTCCCATGCCCAACATCCGCATTCCCAAAACGCATCCTGCTGGCCGGCAGCTACTCGACATATTGCGATAGCGGCTGAGCCAATACATCGAAGAGAATTGACGAAATATCCTCCGGTGGCGGCCGTTCGAGCAAGGGCGGTGAAGACTTTGACATTAAGATCAAAATTGGGCCCTTCTCTATCACTACCCCATTCTATGCCGACGCATGCCGTCCTCAGCCCTTCGAGAGGCGTGCGAGTAAGCGGCAGTCTCTGCCGTGGTCCGCCTCGCTGTGAGACAAAGGCACCTTGGCCACGTACAGCGCTCCAGAGTTCATCTTGAAAAGGGTTGTAGACCACGCCCGCGGCGGGCTGTTGGTCAATGACAAGCCCGATGGACACACACACGGCGGGAAATCCATGGATGAAATTCGATGTTCCGTCTATGGGATCCACGATGAAGGTAGGATGGCCAGTGATGTCGAGCCCAGTCCCGTAAGTCTCCTCTCCCACAAAGGCAAAGGATGGATACTTTTCGGCAAGTCGATCACGGATAAATAGCTCGACGGCGTGGTCAGTCTCAGTGACCATGTCTGCAGCTGAAGGGGGAGTTGGTCATAAGCTAAGGACTATTTCTCCAAAGAAACTCACTGTTCTTTTTGGTTGACGATGTCAACAACGTCGGCCTTGCATTGCGAATGATGCTGCCAGCCTGGTTCGCAATACCGACCAAATAGTCAGCGATGCCCTGCAAGTCGTGTCTGCTCATCTTGGACATGAGGTTGATCTAGAGACAAAGACCGACAAGGATGCACTGATCCTCATATATCTATCGCCTGGTATACTTTTTTCACTTGGTGTCTTCGTGCTCCCAGCATGTAATGTAACCAGCGTGCAATGCATGAAGGATAAACCTCGGCGTGAAATGGTCGGCAAGCGATAGCGGCGTTTCAGAGGCTCGTCGCTTAGAGATAAGAAATCTGCATCAGTCCCACCGTCGCCGAACCCTCCTCTCTTTCTTTATGCGTCTCTCACCAGAACAAGAGATATCAGACAGGCATTGATGGCTTGCTGGGCCCGATCAGAATCAAGGGTCAACTACATCCGTACAGAGGGCCGGCTCGATCAGACTGGAGTTCCTCTCATCCTCTCATCCTCTCCTCGCACCGAGGCTTCTCTCAAAATATAGCCGACGACCAATGATGTAGACTAGCTGCACAGCGTCCAATTCAAGGAACTCCTCGAGTCTTGCATGAGCCCGAGCATGTCAATGTCCGCTCTGCCCCGGCATGGCTACTACCGCGGCCGAGTCCGGTCCGGCTGTCTCACATGTCGCGGACGCAAGGTTTGTAACCTACTGCTGTGCTTTTCATTCCCCTTGTAACGCATTGGCATAGGTAAAATGCGATGAAGCGAAGCCAGCCTGCGATAATTGCACGCGGCTGGAGCGGCGGTGCGTGTACAAGCCCAAGAAAAGCCAACTGCGCAGTACGAACGTCGATACTACAAATCAGCATCCACTACGGATCTTGGAAGATACCAGGATCAACCATGTGTCTCTTCAACCCAACCCAAGCCCGGCCTCAGAAGATGCTGGCGCGGGAGAATTAGACGTCGCCACCCTCGCCCACGCCTCCAAGACCTGGGATAGCAGCCACGACCCGTTTCTACACCCTGACAGCTGGAAGGCCGAGGTGACGGCGCGCCTGGAGCGGGCGTTGCAGGGCCAGACACAGAGTCCCAGCACCCGAAGTCCCGATAATGGCCACGCAGATACAGACCTCCCAGCAACCCTCATCTCGCGCGACATCGAACTTACCACGACCATGGACTTCCTCGCGTCGCGCGGAGAACCCTCTCAACTGATGACCTTCTTCGCCGACGAGGTTGAGTGTCCAGGCATCACGCCTTTCGACCCGGTCAACTGGCAGCGAGCAAAGCTGCACCTCGTCGAGCTGGGCAAGTCCTGCCCAGCTGTGGCGTCGGGCGTCATTGCGGTTTCGGCGCTATACAAAGCACAGCTTTACGCGCTCCCCCAGTCCAAAGCCCTGTCTCACTACCGCGCCGTTAAGAGGTCCTTTGACGAGCTGTTGCAAGTCCACAGCCAGCAGGATTTCGACACGGTCATCGCGGTGGCTTTTTTACTGTGTCTCTTTGAACTAATCCACGCCGGCGAAGTAGTGCCTGTCTTCAAAGAGCCCAGCACACACTTCGTTGAGAGACTCGCGGCGTTGGCGGCCGCACAATCGTCATCGCCTTCGCCGGCGACCCCTCCGTTGACAATCCGTCTAATCACCTGGATAAAAATCTTCCAGGCAATAACCATGCGCGCCGGCGGTACGGGCCTCCTCTCGGAAACCATCGAGACCCTGCTTCCTGAGTACGAGAGCCCCATCCCCGCCATCAGTCCGCTACCAGAGGCACAGCACGACGACACTTCCGGAGCCTCGGCGGCCACGGGGGGCCAGCTGGGCGAAGTGCTCGGTGCGCCGCTGTTCGACTTCTACTTCCGGCTGCAGCTGGTGTCGCGCGATATTGCGCGGCTGACACACTACCACCGGTCGCGCACGACGGGCGGCGACCAGGACGAGGTTGTCGAGCACGTGGAGCGCATCAAGGCGCGGCTGCGCGCGCTGTGGGCCGGCCGGAGCACCACGCAGCGCCAGACGCCGCAGGACCTGGCGGCGCAGCTGGCGCCGCGCATCGCACGCCCCCTCGCGAGTCTGATCGGTATCTGCGACGCCGCCTACCACGCCGAGTTTGTCGAGATCGACCGCGTGCTGGGCGACCCAGTCTCGAAGTGGACGGATTCCCGCAACGCACTGCGCACAATTCGCGACCTCGTCGATCGGGACCGAGACCGGGCCCTGCGCCAAACCGATGGCACCGAAGGCCGAGAGACACAATCGACGGTCAATCCAGGCTATATCCGCGCGCTCTTCCTGTACGCGATTGAATGCATGGACGAAGCACAGATCCGCTGGGCGACTGACCGCATCGCCGACATCCGCAGCTCGATCTACCGCAGCGATTTCTTTGCCAAGTTTGCTACGGCGCTCGCGGACGCCCAGATGCGCAAGGAGAGACGCGTCACGTCCAAATATTTCTGCATATGGTTCTTTGGCGTGCCACCGCCATATATGTGACCGCGTTTCAATCAGGAGTTACTATGTGCGGTTTCTAACACTTTTGGTTTTAAGGTGTACAGCAAAAATGGCAGAAGCGCCCAGCAGGTGCCAGGGATGGTTCCTCTTACGAGCTCTTTTGCTCGGACACCGGTGTACCCTGGGGACTCAATACTCTCAAAGCTCAGAGCCAGTCAGAATCAAAATCCTGAAACAGAGCTTTTTGCTTCTACACTTTGACTTGGCTAGTGGTTGCATCCTTCTCCACAACAGCCTCGACCAAATCGACCTGGGCCTTGGAAAAGTGGCGTGGCGCTAGGTTGCGAGCAAACAAGATGTCCATTTCGGCAGTCGTCCGGTCCTTGGTCTCCGGGACACAAAAATACGCAAAGACAGTCGAGATCAGACAGCCTCCGGCCCAGAAGAAGCCCGTCCTGGCCCCCCAATTCCACGCGCTAGTGTTCAGTTGGTATGGCGTCAGGACACCGGCAATGATGGTGGAGATGGCGTAAGTGAACCGGGCGAGCACCACGACTTTACTGCGGAGGAGGGCCGAGGGGATCTCGGCGCAGAGGGTGTTGGTGAGTGGGCCACTGGTGGCGTTGTACAGAAAGGAAGAGATAATCAAAATCGACCCAATCGCCCACGAGTACGAGGTGTTGGACGAGTGTGCTTGAGGTACGCCCAGACCGCCGATGATGACCATAAGAATCAGCATAACCACCAGACTCCAGAAGTAAATGAGTCGGCGGCCGAAGAAGGGTAGGAAAATCCACTGGAATGAATAGCCAGGTTAGAAATCCACAAATTCGAATGTATGCATCATCGGCATCGAACAAGGTGATGAAACCTACCGCCACGAACCCTCCCAGCAAAGCTAGCGAATAGCTCACAATGGTCATGTTGAAAGCCTGCGTACTGGGCAGGCCGGCCTGCTCGAGAAAATAAGTCGAATACCCGCGGAGAGGGTTGCCGCTGAGGGTTTGGATGCAGTAAATGCCGATGGGGATCAAGGTCCTTTTCAGGTCAACGCCCTTGAAGCAGGCCAGATAAGAAGTCTCGGCGTTGACGGCGCGTTCGTACTCGGTTGTGACGACCATCAGGGCCACTTTTTTGTCAATGTCCAGACTTTCTTTTTGATGTTGCTTGGACGAGAGGCCCCTCAGGACGGTCTTTGCATCCTCGAGGCGACCCTGTCTGACGAGCCACCAGGGCGACTCGGGTGCGAAGGTGAGGAGCGGTATCAGGATGACAGGCCACACCCATCTGGAAATGGATCAAGTTAGCACTGAGTCGCGATTTTCCTCCTGCAAAGATTTGGCTCACTGAACAGCAAATGGGATCCTGTACGCCCACTGGTCTTGGATGCTCAGAACTCCGCGAAGAATGCCAGCGCCGATGAGATGGCCAATTGCCTTTGAGAGTGTAAGTGTTTAAACTTGTGTCCTTTCAAGCTTCGACAGGAGAGATGTCATACCCAGCAGGCATTAACCCAGGTGGTAAGGTACGGTTGAAGGCAAGTTGGAGCAATCTCCATTGCATAGACGACAGGAATGGTCTGGAATAGACCAATAGGAATTCCTAGTGTTCGAGTTCGTCAGGTACATCATGGGGGTCACCCCCAACATCTGGGGTGATCTCGCACATACCAAAAAGTACCTGACCGACTTCGAGTACGTCGAGGCTCGGAGCAAAGAATTGAATGAAGATGAATGCGACGATGACCACCAGGCCAGCTATCATGGTCTTGCGAAAGCCGAATTGGTCGCTGACCCATCCAGCTACCAACAGACCGATCAACTGGCCACAGGAACCCCCGTTGTTCAGCCCGGCTTGCCACTTCGCAGGGATCTCGTGTTTGCCCTTGCCAACAGGGACACCGTACCGTTTCTGAAACGTCGACTGAGCGATCAAATTGCCCATCAACATGGTGTCGTATCCTTCCATGAAGATGGCGGCCGACATGGCCAAACTCCAGAAGATGGGCTTGGGATACAGCTTGATGGCATCCCGTAAACGCAAGTCGTGCTCCTGGTTGTTTCCCTCTTGAGCGTCGGGCAGCCACTCGGCCGGGCTGCTGCTAGGTCGGGGTTCTTCGGCTACAGAGACATCGACTTCTTTCTGGGCCGCCATGGCTAAAGGACGTCGTTGCAGGAATTATTCGTGCTCGGCACAATTCAAGATAACAATGTTGGACGAGAAGAAGAAGACCACTGGGCTAGATAGAGACCTGTCACACTGCTTTCCACCTCTCCAAGCGACGACATTCCGACCACTTCTTAAATACTCGCATCCTTGCGTGCTCTGCTCCGTATGTCTCGGTGGTGACCTCGTGCAGAACGCCATGTTCTGGAATAAATTTGTAGATGGACAAATCTTGCAGAAGATCCTTTTAGATGGACCGCCAATCACCAAGTTGAGCAGCACCTCGTGGCCAGACACGCGAGAAGTCATCTTTAAAACCCCTCCAAGGTGGTATTAGAGCTTTTCTTATCTGTTGCCGATGGAGGATTTCGAGCTCCACCTTGTGCTTATCTGGAACCGACCGAAAATCTCCAAGCGACGAGGCAAGAAAATAGGTGATGCAGTGAGCTAATACTCCAGAAGGGGCAGAAAAGCTGTTTCTACCGAGTCAGTAGGTTACGTGACTTCACAGAAGGTGATTACTTCAAGAGGGTCAATCTTGGGAAGCAGTACTCAAGGTTGTCACAGAGTCAGCTGCTAGCGTTTGATGATTTGCACGTGGGTGATGTCATGCCAGAGGACGATCTATCATGCGGATTCCCCTCCTTCTCGCCCGAGGTAGAACAGCCTTGGATACGCACACATGTCCTGAAACACACAAAATTCCACAGCGCCCAGATCAAATTCCATCTTCACCTTGGGGAGAAGCTCAGCAAAGGTCTTGTTGAGCGCAAGCCTATCGTCACCGTCCACATGTCGCAACAGATAGGCGACGGTGACGTGAAAGATGTACATGTCATGTCGAGGGGCACGGAACCCCATAGCGTCAGCGAGTCGATCCCTCAGCCTCCTCATACGCTTTTCTTCCTCGTCGGTGGCTCCCTCAATCTCAAGCCCCACGCCGACCACGGCGGGATCGAATCCCCGAACTCGCATCTTGTATGGCGGTGCCAGGCCCTCGCTTTGGAGCTGGTCACCCAGCTCTCCCAAGGTTTTGGAAAACTCGACCGTGTACTCGTCCAGCGGTCTTTTTTCCAAATCTTCCGGCCACATGTCGCCCTCACATTCGATCTCCCGGACACCATCTAAAACGGTCATGTGCCATGTTTCTGGAGGGACCAGACGGAAGAAGTGAGCAAGAGTTGCGTGGGAGCCGAGAGCGTCGTGGATAGCACGTAGACCGGATATCAGGGGAGAATCGAGCGGGATGTGACAGATGGTGGTGTTACCAGGATACCGTTGGGCAAGACCGTCTGGGGAGAATTTGACTGGGACACCTTCAGGGTAGGGTGACCTTGCAAGAGTGACTGCTGTCTCGCTGAGGGTGGTAGTTGCAGTAGTGGTGGTGGTGGTGGTGGCTGTTGGGGCTGTCATGATTGCCCTACTCTTGCAATGGGGTCTGATGTTGGAGAACAGACGAGATGGAAAAGGCCTTCACTACTTCTAGGATTTGCCAGACTTGTGCCGTGGCCCAGCATCAACAGAGAAGGTATGAGCTTACCTCTCTTTATACGGATGTACTTGGACACGTGTGGTGAAAGATTTGTCTGTTCCCATCGGCAAAAGATTGTCGTCGGTTAGAGATTGCCGAGTATGCTGCAAGCTGCAAGCTGCAAGCCTAAGACCATGGCGAACCTACAAGTACTGAGTAGTAGTGGTAACAGCCACGTGGTGGGATGGAGGATGTTATAATTATAAGTGTTATCAAGCTTACTTAGTGTTAAGTGCTGCTTCCTGTATGGCCTAATGAGGTTAGGCTTCCTTAGTTCCAGTCCTTTTATTATATGAGCTAGGTCGAGAGTACGTAAGGTATGAATAGTCGTATAACTTTAGAATAGTATAGTAAAGTAGATATTATAAGTTAGTTACGAGAGAGTGTAACTATAAAAGAGTAATAAGCGTAGCTATATACTTATAAGGCGCGTCCCGAATAGGTAACTAGGAATGGTATATTAGTATATTAATATAGAGTATACTACTACACTACTATATCGTAAGTTTCCTCTTTTAGTAGTCACGTACGGTACGTAACCTAGCCCCGTCTCTATTAGGCTGTCGCGTCCCCGGTAGACCTACCTCTAGACGCCCCGCGCCTAAGGTCATATATAGGCCGTTTCTAACACCATCCCCCTCCTATCCTATTCGTTATCCTTAACGTACTTAAGGTAGGCCGCGCCTACCCCGTATCTCTCTCTACCCTTCCTTCTTTTCTTTATAGCTAATTATATAGAACTTCCGCATAGCTAAACCTCGTCGTTCTTTAAAACCTATAAAGACTTAAAGCGAGCTATTACGAGGTACTTTATACGTGAGGTATTATAGTAAACCCGAAGTAGTTTACTTAGTAATATAGTAGTAGAGCGATGTAGTAGAGACGAAACTAAGAGTATAGTGTAATGGGGAGGTCTACAAGCCGGCACGTAACTAGCTGATTTACCTGTATAATGTATAGGTAAATATTCCTACCTCCTGATTAGCTAGATCTCGGACACTAGGTCCGAGAGTCTTTTTTTTCTTAGAGATCCTCTTAGAGGAGGAAAAGTTTTTAATAAGAAGAGAATAGAGCGATTAATTAAGTAATGAAATCTATCTAATTAGGATCTTTAATGCGGTCTTATTATTACTATACGATAGTCGTTACTCCTAATACTATGCCCACCGCCGTACGAGTTAATGCCTCTAGTTAAGAGCCTTACTATCAGGAACGGCCTATGGAGATAGGCATGAGGGCAGCGATAGGTATAGGTAGGTATAGGTATTCCTTAATAGTATATCTTAACTAAAACTTAAAGTATAAGGGAAGGAAGCTTCCCTCAGGCGGTGAGCATACGGTGCTT